TCAGATATTAGCTAACGGGGCAGAAGCCGGAGAGGATTGAACTACCCTATATTTCTAGATTTGAAAAACAAGTCTACCGTCATACCAGCACAAAAATATTCAAATTTCAAGTTGGGGAGACAGACAACATTCGTTCGCAAGAAGGTTGGGAATAAAGTGTAAAATGTGCAAATTACTGTACAAACCTAATTTTTGATTAAAATGGTTTATAGATAATTTTTCATTTTCGGCTTTCATAACTGCCTCGGCTTCAGTGATGAAAAATGCTAGAGACGTCGTTGGATGTGTAGGTTATCACTCCGCTGTGGAAGACCTTCAAACATCTTGCAGGCAGCAGGTGATCTGGAGTTCTGAATGAGCACTGAGACTACCTAACGATAGGCACAAAGAATCTCTCACTGAGCAGTTCTGCTGCATAGTGAGATGTGAGTGCTGATTGTCCATTCTGACGGATTGTTAAAGGTTTACCAAGTGATTGCTTACTGCCCTTAAAAATGGTAAAGATGGTTCAAATGTTTGCTGCCAGAAAAATGTGGCATTTTGCTCAATTTCCTTCCGCGTCTAGAATCAATGGACAACCACATATGTTCAAGTAACGAGGGAAATCGGAAAGTGGCGGTTAGAATGTGCAGATTTAGTTGGCTTTCGGCAGATCCCACCCACATCTCAAACAAGTATTGGGCCGGGCATTGAAGGATTCAGAGGGAATAAGCCGGATCACTTCCGCAGAAACAGCATTCCAAGGTTCAACAACTAGAGGTCAGAGGCTGTGTTTAATATCACATCTGCCACATTCCAGGCTTGGTTACTGTTTACATCATTTAAGTTCGGTTCCGCGACCAAAATATAATAAGTGGTGGAGTTGGCGTTCGTGGACGCAAAGATGCAAGCCATTACTCTACAGCTTTTCTCCTGCAGCACTAACACAGGATTTATCTTAAATACAAGGAGATCTGAAGAGAATATTCACACTGAGCGTGACCTGGCAGCTCCCTCTGAATCCAAATAAAAGTGGCATCCTCCATTTCAACAAATCCCACCCAGAAGTAACACTACACTTGGGTGATATCGCACCGTAGATATACAACACTGTGAAAGACCTCGGAATCACTTACTCCGGGAGTTTGAATTTTACGGAGTACGCAGATTCGATAGTTTCCAAAGGCAGAAGACTCATAGGTCTTCTACACAGAAACATACTCACACCTGAGGCAAAACTTATACTGTACAAGGCTATGGTCCGCCCAATATTAGAGTACTGTACGGCTATCTGTAGTAGCATGACGGTACCTGATTGAATTCGAGTAGAGGACGCCCAACGAAACTTTACTCGGCGCCTAATAATACAAAACGAAGGACTTGCATGCGAAGCAAGATGCACAAAACCAGAACTAGGATCACTCTAGCTGAGACGCTGAAGCTCAACCCAACCTTCCTTTTCGCAGTTGATTTGGAAGCTCTAGAACGAACTGTGCTATCACTTTCAAATCAACGCCGGCATACAGTCTGCGTGCTAGCGAGCACACCATCCCAACAAGTGAGTATCGCTCAAAACTTCGACGTAAGTTTTTCATAACGCAATACAGTATGCTGTGGAACAAACTTCCCGCTCCCATACGAAAATGTTGATTTCTTGGCCAGTTTCAACGATTGCCTAGTGAATTCCCCCTACCCAACGATTCTCACCAATTCGATGACGGTCAAACCACAAACGGTAATACCATGTACAGTGGTGCTACTGGTACCTAGACTCAAGGGAGACTAACAACAATGACAAAAGTATACAATGCCGAAAACCAAACGCAGTAGTTAAGTTAAAATCTAATTTCTTGAGAGAATGACCAAGAGTGGACAGGAAGCGGAGTACGATACGATACGCAACAATGAATTCAGTGGCTACTCTAATGTAACCTACACTTCTTCATAACCTAACCGATCTCACGACTTGACACCTATTTCCTACAAAACGTCCCTTAAAATAATCTCTCTACTCCGAAAAGATAAAAGTACTGTTTGTTGGTGCATTTTCATAGCATGCAACATGTTGTATTATTTGTCTTTTGTTATCAGTACTTACATGTAAGTACTCTGGACCTCCATATTGTCTCTGTAGCCCCGATGTGTTAATACTCTTCGTCGCCCCCTCCGCAACCGGATGATATGTGTTTTCCATCTTAGAAAAAGCCATCAATTTCACTTAAGTTTTTGTAACTTCATGAAATGTTTGCACTCAGGTATATAACGAGTGAGTACCTGGTCCGAAATCTTCTAATCTCTATACTCCATGGTGATATCTTCGGCTTCCGAATGATTCTTGTTACTTTCGTGCGCTCCTTAATCTTCTTCCACCTCAGCTTATCTCTAAACTGTTGGTTCTGGATACTTCCTGAAGGAAGTTTTGCTGTCATTTCAAGGAACTCATCCAGATGTATGTGATGCGGTCACACCTTCAAGAATATTGTAAGATTCAAACGATGACCGAATAATTCCTAATTTCGGACTGAGCCTGCCTCAACACACCTCTTATATGCCATGAATAACGGTATGTAATGTATGGCTTAACATTGTACATAACAGCCGTTTCTCATTGCCAAAATGACCAAACCTGTAAACTGGTTTGTGTTCACGTAACCCTTGTTGTATGAAATATTTATTATCGTTATTATTATATTATTATCAAGTCTCCTCTTAATCTTCTCTACTCCAGTGGGCATAGACCTTATGTTTTAGACCCAAGTAGTCGGGTGGATTTCGTCAAGCTTCATCTATCTTTCTGTAGAGAAGAAAGGGAGACGATAGTCCGAAACTTCAGGTGAGGATGTGGAGCTGCTAAAAATCTTGTGAAAACGCCCAAGATTCGATTGTACGAAAATCCGTTCAAGAGCTACCGACGCCAAGTTTCGCCAAATGCGTTTCCACCGCAGTTGGCGTAGGATTTTAGGCCTCTGGCGACCAAAACGCCCAAATCCTCCTCCGTCAGCTGTTTCAGGCCCCATGTCGTTGAGGCTATGTGCATGACATGCATCGTGATCTTTGTGTAACGCCTTGCATTCTTCGAAATTGGTGAGACCCTTTTCACTGACTGCCACTCTCGAAGTTGAGTTAAGCCTTGCTGTGAGGAAACACCGTCCTCCTCACTTCTGATTCCTCATCATAGTTTCACGACGTCGGCGAAAAGAAGGATTTTGGAAGAAACTTGCCGGGACAAGTCGCTTGTGTACCTTAGAAATATAAAAGGCCCTGCTGCTGAACCCCAGAGAATTACACTAGGACATTCCGTCCCTTCAGACAGAGAAAATCGCCCGAGCTCTGAATAAACAACCTCACCGGCTTGAAGACAACTAACCAATGAGTGGTGATCTTATCCCAGTCAATTTCACTTTATGGATAGGGCGTTTGTAATTAAGGTGATCAAGCTCTTGAGAAAACTCTGTACATTTAACATCAGTTCGATCTAGATGGTCGACAACGCTGGTCCATCTATCTACTGTAGTGAACAGATTACTAATGCAGGAGTACCCTTTTCTAAATCCGCGTTGTTGGGGTACAGAGAAGTTAATCGTTGTGTGACGCCCCAGCCCATAATAAATTGACGGTCCCATTACTTTGGAAGGTACGGATAAGAGCGTCACCAGTATGCGATTCTTCGGGTTGCTTTGTTGACCACGTACAAAGATCCGTGCCAACTCATTTGCAGTCACAGTCTGCAAAATTGTGAAATTCCCTCCCTTCAGCAGTTTTTACAGCTTCCATACTCCCATACTTTTAAAAGGAGGTTAGACGCACACCTCGAGTCCTACGGTGCCGATGGGCTGTGCTCTAGAAGCCTTCCGAAGATCAGATGTAGTAATACTACCCTGAGACCAGATAAATTAATAACCGTATCTCTATCCTTTCAAGTTTTTCAGAACCGGGAAGACAATTGTGACCATTCCAAACTCAGAATGTATTCCAATAAGACCGACGTAGAACCCAAGGAACCGCCATTCACTAGTTCTACAACACAAAGTTCGAAGTTGGACCTATTTTGAAGATTGGCGTTGTGCTGCCCGACTTCCAAGGCTCGGGTACTTTCCCGCGACTTGGAGAGTTATTAAAAAATTGCTTGAGGGTTCAGCCAGGGTAGATGCTCCTTCCCATAGTACCACCGCAAGCATTCTTTCTGGTTCAGGAGTGGCCTCTCTTGTGGACAGTAACAGATTGCGCTGTACTAGCTCAGCTTCACAGTCAATGACGCTACCCTCTTTGCTGAACTATATTCTGCAGCCCTGGATGCAGCTTTCAGTTAGAATGATTTCTTATACGAAGTATCGTATAGTGATCAGATCTTCACTAAGGACATCATTCGCCATACTAATTCAGGAATTGTCCTGGTGCGAACTTGACAGACGCAAAGACCAACCACTAATTATTCGGACTTCTTATATACCCACGAATATGAGACCAAGGGAGAACACTATAGCGTAGTCGGATGGAATAGTGTATTTGGATGGTTGTGTCAAGATACCGACGCGTTCCAACTAACTGGCTAGAGAGTCGAATACGAGCAGTGCAACGTAACACGACAGTGTGCCAAATGGCGAGGATGCTTGACCGGATGCCTTCAGCTTAGTGAGTCCAGTTAAACTATCAAGGTCAGCATCAATGCTGAATGTCGTCAAACCCTAGGCGTTTGATTTTGGAGAAGTGTGACGCTACACTAATAGACTTTGGCACTAGCTTAGATTAATAGTGAGGAAAAAATGTCGCTGATTTGAAACCGTTCACGTTTGAGGGGTTTATTAGAATTTTGATGACATCTGTTCCGTCCATAACCATACTTCAGTACGATTGCTTGTTTATAATCATCCTCAAATATTGAGTGTTTCTGCCAATGTCATACCCAAGGCCGAGTGAATAAAGTCTGTCATCAACATGCTATTTCCCCCGTTGAATACACTAATACATAATTAATGAACAGAAAGTGCGGTCTTATTGGAAAGTGACAAGTGATTTCAATTATGGGGATTTGTTTTTGCTTCCACAAAAGATCGAAGCATAGTCTCAATGACAGTGGATCACAGTACTACCTTGGCTCTACGCAAGGCACTGTTAACAATGCGACAAAATACCTGGGTCATCAAACACCTGAAGTCACACAAAATGGAAATAATATGGATGTGCTGCCGACTAATGTAAATCAAGTGGCGTTGTTCAATTTCGGTGCAAAAAATTCTCTGCCTGTGTCCAGGAACGTTGTTAATGACATGCATATGGCGTGCGTTGCTGCTCAAAACAGTGCGATTACTTCGGCGATTTCTACCGTTTCTCCAGGGGCAGCTGCTGTCCAAACGAGAAATCCGTTGGTGCAAGTCCGCGCTCTGTATTCATATCAGGGACACAATCAAGATGACCTTCCGTTTCAAAAGGGAGATATTATGTTTGTAATTTCTGGAATGTCCGATGCATGGTGGTTTGCAAGGCATGCTGAGAATGGGATGAGTGGTTACATACCAAGTAACTACGTTTGTTTGGATGATGGACTTCCAACTAGTCTAGATGCTTGGTATGATATAGGCCGCCGCGAGGCAGATCGCAAACTGTTGTTGGTAGGCAATCCCAAGGGGACGTATCTTATTCGACCAAGCTCAGGTAGGCTTTTGTTGCGTTTCGTCCACGTATATTTGAACTTTCTGTACCATATTTTCACCATAGCTTATTGGATGAGTAGGTTTCCCAACGTAAGAAATATCGATAAGGGTTGGATCCTGTACATATAAATGTGTAAAACTATGCTTTTAAAAAGCTTGGCTAAGCGTGCCTCTATCTCTGATGAAGTTCCATAACCTTATTCTAATTGCTGCTTTGAGTTGACCATAACCAAATAAAACTAAATACATATAATACTCAATCCCTGCTGTGGACCTAAAAATTTCGTGTACAACAGTAAAATTGCAAAGTAACAGTCAGCCTTTCAATAACAAACCACGGCTTGTTGATGACGTTAGCACTTGGTCTTGAGATCTTACTGGACTTTAGAAGATTAAGCAATCTGGAGTGAGAGGTCAGTGGGTCCCAACAGATAAATGCCAGAGGTATTGTAGAGTGGTTATGTAAGGATATTAGACTGACTGAGGTATTAGCTGGGGTACGAAAGTAAGATACAGTCCTTTCTGACTGGCCTCAGCCATCGTTGATATGGTTTAAAAAAGATCGTGATGACGCATTTATGTTGACTATCGTTCCTCAAGTTGTAACCTCAATTCCTATATCCTCTTGACCCACACCTTCCGTTTTTGGGTTTTAATATCATCCCATTTCCGTTAATTTACTTGTAATGATGATACACTTTATGGCAAATGGAACCGATGCACTTTTGTGAAAGGTTTTAGTGGGATTTCTGTCCCTTCGGGACCACTTATTTTTTTAACCAGGTAAATGAACTTTTCAGGCTTGATGAAGGGATGGATAAGTCATTGCTAACCTTTGACACTTCCCAGCTCTTATGTCACCTAAGGAAGTCTTGCAAGTTTACGTGGTTTTTGGCGCTGGTTTATATGTACTCATTATATGTACCCACTGGTTTCGATGAGTTAAACGTCTGCCACGAATGTTGTTCAAGATGTTCCAACACCGTTTGCTGCTTACTTGCTTTGGGGCCTACTAGAAGAGGCGAAAAGGTAGCCACTGCATGATGTGAAAAAAATGTGTTGGATTAGCACCTGTTGGTGCCTCATGACTATTTGGCTGTGTGCGTGTAAATGTGTATGTGATCATGCAACAGTGGTTTGAGACAATAACAGACACCTGAAAATTGAAGCCATTTGCGATCATACCGCAGCTCGTTTTTTCCTGCAACTACGGGAAATTAAAATTGAAGTAGCGAATACCTGGATTGTAAATCCTTGGGACTGTTTCCTTAGAAACCCTCATTTGCTTTTGGCTTCCGTTCTTTCTTCCATTTTTGTTGTATTGTTGTGTATGTTGCATCCCTTGGGGTGTATGTTTTAAGTTTTTTGTTGACTTCCATGAAAGTCATGTGTATCATCTCTTCTCAGTTACACCATGATGACCTTTTGGTTGCTATTTTGAGGAATTTTACCATCACACTTGTGAAGTTCATCGGTCGATAACTTCTCTTATCCTGGAAAACTGGGAAGCTTGCCACAAATTCACATTATTCATTGTCAGCAAGAGTGTTGGCTAATCATGTAAATAATGATATGACCTAGGGTCAATTTTAATGGAGAATTCAGTTGTAACCTAACTGGTTTGTTACGTTACTTTTATTCACGGTTTTGCAATACCGCAGATTTTTGAAGTTTTTCATATGCTTTTATACAGCGTTGTAATCCGATTTCTGTTTTTTTCGTAGAAACTCAAAACTATGCGCTCTCTGTCAGGCATTACGACTCCGAGAAAAACATGTGGGTTGTAAAACATTATCGTATCCGTATACTTGATAATAATGGTGGCTTCTTCATTAGTATTCGCACAACCTTTCCAAATATTCAAGACCTTATTAACTACTATACAGGTACGTCATGAGACACTTGGTATTCCTTTTGCAGTCATTACGTCATTGTGCATAAAAAATTGTCTACGGGTTTTTATATTCCGGTTGAATACTTGTACTAACTTTTCCGGAAACTATCCATTTCCTTTCTTCACAGGAAATTCAACTACCGCTCACATTTCCCTACAAAAGCCTCATCTAGTATGTTAGGGTTAATGGTACTACGTGACTGCCTAAACCAAGGTAGACAAGACGGGGTTCCAATCCGTTACCCACTGAATAGAAGTTGAGTACCCAGACCAATGAGTCAAAGTTCCCTACAGAAAACTACTTTTATAGGTGGTGACGATGAGGGAGAAGTCCCAAGTTAGTTGTCATGAAAGGAATTATTGAAAGACTGTTGCGTATCACCACTACGTTTCCTATCTCTGTAGTCTTCAATCCCCTTCACTGCTCATTGCCATTGTGTAGGCTGTTTGTCAGTTTACATGTGATTTGCTTCCAATCCTCATTGTTCTTGGAGCCTGCATGGTTTGGTGTGTGTGCATTCATTAATACAAAAGTTATTGAGACCCGCTGACCCTTTCTGACGTCTTCCTAAAATTCAGTTACAGTGTTTACCGCTGTTTTCACGGCAGAACGGAGGTGATGCCAGGCTTCTTCAGGATGAGTGATGTTGTCCTGTTCCGAGAACTATCTGGCCAGTTTCTCGTTGAAAGCAGCCGTAGTGTCCTGTATGATGAGCTGAGCTTGGAGTGCTTTTGGATCTGTTTTTCTATGTTCATTCAGGCGCAAAGATAGACGTTCTCAGATCGATCCCTATCGCTGTCCAAACCTTTAGGGACTGGTGGCTAGAATCTTGAACAAAGCACTGAAGCACAGTTCAACTAGCCCACGTCGACGCTTTGGTTACCTAGCACCCATCCGGAACATAAATGAGTCCTAGATGTCCATCCTCCAACTATCCTTATGAAAGCTGTATGGAACCTGAAACGATGCAAAACAGCAGGATCTGCCGGTTTTCCACTAACAGGTTTTGAGGGTGGAGGTAGGGAATTGCTAAGGTGGCATTCGACTCTGTTGACCGTGAGGTGTTGTGGCAGTGTCTGACTGAAGGAAATACCGAGCAAAAATGTGACGTTAGTCAAAGCTCTCTACTTGAACTCACGTATCCGTATTGGGGCTTATAGAGAGTTGTCGTGTGAATTGACGACAACTAGTGGTGTCTGCTACGGATGGCAGCTGTCATCGTTCCTGTTTAGTTTCATCATAAATATACTAATAGACATAACCTTAGGTATGTCTGACATCACAGGGATAGATCTACTCCCTGAAGGGCATTTGCTCGACTTTAGTATGCAGACGGTATTGTCCTGCTAGGTGAAGACACTGACATAATGTAGAGTCTTCTGAAAGCGTTCATTAGAAATCAGTATGTACGGCATCCGTTCCACACCCGTGAAATGTAAGATGATACTTCAGGATTGATCTGCAACTACTCCCATTTGAATGATAGTCAGTAAGGTAGTTGAATGTGTCGACCACTCCACTTACTTGGGTAGTTGCATCAACCCGAATGTGCTGGTTGCTGACTAAATCTCAGCTCGGATAACGAAGTCTCGTTTGACATTTACCAACCTGTGGTATTTCTGATGCCGACTGACGAGATATTTGACTACCTGTTAAAGAATGAGTAAACTAAGCTAAGTCATTCTATCCTGTTATACTGCTGTGAGGAATTGTTGTGAAAAGTAAAAGAAATGAAGGGAATTACCATATGAGCATTGTTGAGGTCAGGCGAAGGTTACTAGGCCAGAAAGGCAAGTCTATTGATGAGGTTGCGAACCTTAGTTGACTGAGATGACTTCAGTATGTACTGGGCATGCCTGACAACCGCCTAAGTCAGTGTCATGCTAGAGGAAGTTGGATTATGTCTAAAGAGGGTTCAGGGTGGCCAGACCCAGGCAATCACCATTCCATGGAATCTTCCACTGTTGGTCTCAGTCATGTAGGGAGATATCGACTGCCTGGTGAGATGTTTTAGACGATAGAAATCAATGGCTGGAAATTTTGGTGATGTGGCTTGCAATCCGTCACAGTGGAGTAAAAATTTGTACAGTGTCAGTTCCAAAGCCTTCAACATCCTCACTCACCTCCATCGTTTTATTCTCTCATTTCGTACAATTTTGTGCCAATGCCAGTCTTTTTGTATCCACTTCTTGTCCGCATAATGCTGTGATTTTTGGCGACTTAAAGTGATACCCTTCTATGTCAAATTCTACATTATCCGCCTGCTTGAATTATGTCTGCGTCAGGTGAGAGAGCGAGAATCGAAGTGTAGTCAGCAACCTTGTACACATTCATACAGTAGGAAATAAACCAAACCTATTGTATGTGGGGGCGAATGATACTTACTGCCTGGTTGAACAAATCTTGGTTTGAAGGAGGAAGATAATTAAATCAATATTAAGAAAACTAATTGCTGCGAGAAAAGGTAAAATAGAGGCTTATATCCAAGTGTAGGTGTGGAATTTCAGAATGTTGAAGAGTGACGGGGGGGGGTTGGTGGCTAGCATAAGGGGTTCTAGTTTTTCGATAGTAGTGGCAAGCAGGTAACTAAAACTTGCTGGTCACCATCACCATGAAGGAGTGTGTTATGAATAGTCACTCATGCCATGGGTCATCTTGAAAGCAACAAGCCATTATTATTAATGAGTGAGTAATAATAATGATCACAGTTTGAATAATGACATAGAATGAATGAACTTGTCTGTTCGAGTCCTTGATAGGGCAGAATCCTTTCGAGGTCTATACACATATACACTAAACTGTAGGTCTTTTGTGAAGTTAACGGCTAATCAAACACCGTGAATTCGAGTGCGATTTGAACCCGTACTCCATCGATTAAAAGTCGAGTAGCTAAGCCAATAAATAACAATTTCGAAAACAAATCAGTTCATTTCTCTCATAACTGCTTATCTGTTGTTGACAGTGTATAACGTGGTGTCATGGGATAAAGGATAGTTGTGATGGGTTAGCGTCTATTTGTACCTCATGGCTACCATGTAGTTCAATGACTTGAGACGCTTTTATCATCTTATTTTCACTTCATCATTTTGCATTGCACATCTCTTGGTGTCCATATTGTATTAAGTTCGTGTTTTAAATAAATTCAGTGTAGAGTATGACAGTTTTAATGCGAAAACTAACATCAGTAACATACATCAGTTATTTACAAGAAGGGAACTAAATAGTTCGGAAGTATATTGATTTAGATATTGATCGAGATGACCGAAAATTAACGTTAAAATATAAACAAGTTTTATGCCAATGTTTACTTAGCAGTTAATAGGATTTCACAAACTAAACACAGAAGTGAGGAAAAGTGATGGATGGTTTCATATTTGCGTGCCGCTATAGAAACAACTAAATATAAGTCCATAAATTGCCTATGCTATTTTGAAATTAAAAGACAACGAAAACTGAAACATAGTACTCAGTAGTTTTGGTTTCCCACTATATGTTTGACAAAATGTTAAACTACGGAATTTGTTTTATTACGTGAATATTAATTTTCTTCAGTTCTGGAAATAGTATGACGTCGGTGTGTACAGATTACCTTATAAGGCAGTAATGTTGCGGGTGTTTGAGACGATAGGAATCTGTGGTTTAGAACACTCAGTGACAGCTGAAAATTGGTCAGAGTGGTGTAGATGTATTCATTCCTTGAATATTTTCACTAACCTTTAATCCAAATTGTTTATTCTCTCACTCCACTTCGTCTATTCCCCGTCTATCCACCTGTTATTTGCATACTACTGTGAAGTGTGGCAACTTTAGCCTGTGGACTTGTGTGCCAGGCTCTGCGTTGATTTTGTCAGTCAGTCATCTTGCGAAAATTAAGTATTTGTCTCACTAGGTGACCTCAGTCTCATTATCATCAACCGATGTCACCTGCAGTAGAGTAATTGAAAACCAGTTACCAGTAGACACGCGTTGTGTCCTAGAATCTAAGTCTTCTGTTAAAGGTAAAACAATCAACAGCATATTAGATTACATTACGTCGCAACACAGTAATGTGTTGGTTTAATTTTAAAAAGGCAGCTTTTTTGCGTTGAATTGCCCTTTTTTGTTTTCATTTTTTGTATTATAGTGCATCCAGATGGCTTATGTTGCCGATTGTCTATCCCATGTCCACGTGCATACCGTCCACCAGTTCAATTTCGTGATTTTGAAATCAATCGTGATAGCATTACAAGAATACGAAAATTGGGTCAAGGTACATTTGGTGAAGTGTTTTTAGCGAAGTGGAATGGTTCAGTTGAAGTTGCAGTTAAAATGAGACTTGATCATACTGACCGTAGTCGTTTTATTGAGGAGGCACGCCTTATGCATGCATTCCACCATCCTCGTATTGTTCAGCTTTTAGGCGTGTGCACTGAACCAGAGGACCAACCTGTTTACATTATTACCGAGTTAATGCGTAAAGGAGCATTATATGACTTTCTGCGTACAGAAGAAGGGCATAAGTTGACTTTGGATGATCTAATCGACATAATGGCTCAGGTAATTACTTTTATTATTTCTAAAACCTTCGTTCACAGTTAATCATGCAGTTAGTAAGTAGTAGACGAAATTAATTCTACAACGAAATTTTTTTCTCAACAATGTGATGTATTTGCCCGATGCACTGATCAACTGACAAAGTCAACATAAAACCTGACACACACGTGCATCGGTTCAAGTTGCCACTATTCACAGTAGCATACAAGAAACAGGTAGATAGAAAAGGAGTAATATCAAAGTAGACAAAGTTGTGTGAGATCATAAACAATGCGGAGATAGCGGTCAGTACTAATATTCAAGGTTTAGTAGATGTCAAGGAGTGAATACTTTTCCGCCACTGTGACCGATTTTCAGCCATGTCACCATGATTTCTCAACTACTGATTTCTCTAGTCTTGAGGACCCCAACCAGGCAGTCTACATCTCCCTACACGACTCAGATCAACGCCAAGAGATTTCGTCGACTGGTGCCAGGTTTGGTATAGTTACTATGACCTCTCCTCCAACCTACTCCGACTTCCTCCATCATGGCATGTCATCGTAGGTGGTGGCTCGCTCGGCATGCGCAGTACATGTTGAAACCATTTCAATCGACTAAGGTTCACAATCTCATTAATCAACCTACTTGTCTTGGATTAGCGCAATACATTGCTGAGTTAAGTATTGTATTACACAAAATTAAGCCATCTGTGTATCTAATTTAAATGCAACTCTCAGTTCTGAATGTTTATTTATACTGTCAATAAGTAGAATATAGAGGCGGTAAACTTATAACTTTCTGTGACATTGTAGCGCTACTTTTTCAGTGAATTTGTTGTTCGAGAGAGGTTATGAGGCTTAGTTTTGGCAAAAATGGTAACAGCTATATAGCAGAACGATATGACTCAGCATTTGTAGTTTATATAAACGGTAGAAAATTTTCTTCCTAATCTTTTGATTTTGATGCTAGTTTTATACTGGTATTTACATCTTGACGTCTATAGCTTGGGTGTTTGCGCTAACCTTTATCTTCAAGTTGTTTATTCTCTTACATTACTTTATCCTTTATGATATCACTCCTTTTCTATCCACCTGTTTTTTGTACACTTGTGAATTGTGGTGACTTGAGCCGATGCACGTGTGTGTAAGGTTTTACGTTGACTTTGTCAGTTGGTCAATGCATTGGGCAAATCTTCATAATGGGCTGTAAATCCTTGAAGCCTGTTACAGCCAGTCTGAGACTCATCCGTATCATCACGTGGTTTTTCGCGAATATGCGACGCTCCATGATTGGTTGTGGAGGCTTTTCATAGAATTACAACCTTCTTTGAGAAATCTAGGGATATTGTCGCGCTTCACATCAGCTCCCTCATAAAAACAAATAATTATGTGTACGAGTGTTACTCGAGATTCACTTGGATTTTCTGAATGGGTTTCCTGAAACGAGTCGTTCGACGCTGTGGTGGCTTCAAACCAGCTTAATTTTGACACTTCTTCTCACCGCTTGAAAATCGTGAGTTGTTTTTTGATTGCTGTATGTTTCCCAGAAACATATCAAGTATGAAGCAGAGAGGAGTATCGTTTCTACTGTGGTTATGACGTTTTGGTCTAGTTAATTTGCGTATCTCCTCCAGGTTTCTGGACCAACTTACATTTCGTAAAGTCCTCTTCCAATTTCACCTCTAATTTCTCCCTACGGATTTTTACCCTGGTAGTTTCCAACTATAACCTTATCACCAGGATGGAATTTCCTGCCTCGTTGTAGCCAGCTCGTTCTTTTTTGACGTGGTCGTGGGCTAACATAGATTGAAAAATAGTTCTTGTTCGGCGACCAAACATACACTGCAGATTTCCCGGTGTCTGTGTTTGGATTTGGAGTGGTTCTGTAGTTATTGACATTGCTAACCAATCCTCCTCCCCCTTTCAACAAAGTACGTTTAAATATATCTACAAATCGTTCTACCTGACCATTTGATTGGGTCTATTGAGGTAGGGGATGTTAGTGCTGGATTGCATTTTGTCTGCAAAAAGCTGAAAATGCTGCTGAATTAAATTATGTACCATCGTAGGTTACCATGGTTTCAGGGACACCGAAACTACTAGACGAACAAGTTAGTCTGGCGAGGGTGGCTTTTGTCATGCATTATAGCATGTAGAAAACTTCAGGCCATATTCTATGTGCGTCAACAATGATAAGACAAATTCTACCTTGTATCGACTCAGTCAAGTTACCATGAATTCTTCGTCATGGAGTTTCGATCATCGATCATGGATGTGAGGAAGACTGGTATATTTCTCGCCCCTTAGGTGCATTTAAGACAATTTTGACATATCTTTTCGATTTCTTGATCCATATTAGGCCAATATACGTAGCTATGCGCCATGGATTTCATTCTGGTTACATCTGAATGGCCATTGTGGAGTCACTTCAGCACTTGTTGTCGAAGACTCTTTGGCACTACAATCCTACCGCTAAACATGACACATGGTTCCACGATCGACAGTGAGTCGCGGCAGTAGTAGTATTGTTTAAGCTTTTCAGTGTGCTAAGATATTAGCCACTTAGTCTTGAGGAACTTTTTAACAGTTTCTAACTTCTTATTTTTTCAAGTAGCAGCTTTGATATCTTCAAAAGCCACAAACACACACACACACACATTGTAACGGTTTCAATTGGTTACTAAACGACCGCTTAGATTGACGGATCGGAGATCGCTTACTGCAGTAAAAGAGTGGAAAACACGTATGGGTCACAGTACAATGCACTGTACAGAATGCAATAATCTTTAAAGCAGAGCGAAAAATAAAAAAATGCTTCCAAAGTCCCAATGTAACCGGTGTGTGTAGGACTTGTAGTTGTGAACAACTTTTATAATGAAGCAAGGTGTATTTCTTAATTCAATTTTATACTTAACTGATCACAGTGAATTAGCCTACAATCACCTTCTGATAAACAATTATCGTGTACTAGATAAATTACAAGAAACGGATCTGCGATTCACTCGCAGAGGAGACGACTGGAACGATGGGCAGAACACTTCGAGGAGCAGTTTAACTGGCCTCCGCCACCATTGCATTGCCGCTATCCAGTCGGATCCTTAATGGAGCATTGAGAGAGGCCCCCAACACTAGCAGAAGTCGAGAGAGCGGTAGGCAACCTGAAACGAGGAAGGGCAGCAAGACTAGACGGAATAACTCCTGAGGTATACAAGGATGATGGTAAGGTACTCTTGGTCAGGTTAACGGAAGGGTTAACCAGTACATGGGAATCAAATGCAATCCCCTCTGACTGGTCTAAATCACTCACTATTCCAGTCTTCGAGAAAGGCGAGAAGTCCTCTTGTGATAACCACAGAGGAATCAACCTGACGAACATAGTGTCTAATCTTCTAAACTCCATAATTCTTCGACACCTGAATGGAGCTTGGAAACAGCAAACCCGAGAAAACCAGGCAGGCAAGCTTTAGACCTGGTCGCGGGTGTATCAACTAAATATTCATACTACGTCAGGTTTTGGAACATAGACGCGCTTACCGACGCCCGACACTATCTGTATTTGTCGACCTGAAGGTGGCATTCGACTCCTTTGATCGAGAAGTCTTATGGCAATGTCTCTCACTGAAAGGCGTGTCGAGCAAGTACATCACCTTATTGAAGGCTCTCCACTCGAACACTTGTGGGGGTGTTAGAGTCTATCTATAGTGAGATGTACGGGGAGCTGTGGTCGTCGAGTGGTGTCCATCAAGGGTGCCCATTGTCTCCATTCTTATTCAATTTTATCATAGATATTCTTATGGAGGTCTCACTCTCGTCACCTGACTACACAGATGTTGACCTAATCGGTGGAGAGTTGTTGTTAGACCTAGAATATGCAGATGACATAGTGCTGTTAGGTGAAGACGCTGACAAGATGCAGAGTCTTCTGAACACTTTGAGTGGGAATTTGAGAATGTTTGGAATGCGTTTGTCACCATCGAAATGCAAAATGTTGCTCCAAGGTTGGTCTTCAACGGTGCCACGGCTAACAGTAGAGAGTGTAGTGGTTGAGTGTGTTGACCACTTCACTTACATGGGAAGTAGGATTAGCCCTGGTGGCTGGCTCAGTGGTGATGAAATCTCTGCAGGGACACAACAGGTTCGATTGGCTTTCGCCAACTTACACCACCTATGGCGTCGCCGTGATATCCGTTTGTCTATTAAGGGTCGCGTGTACTGCATCTGCACAGCAGTCCGCTCCGTTCTACTATATGGCTGTGAAACATGGCCATTGAAGGTGGAAGACATGAGAAGGCTTGAGGTGTTTGACCACCGTTGCCCTTGTAGTATAAGCCGTGTTTTGTGTTGTCACGACGTGAGTAATGCAGAAGTCAGGTGTATAGTTTTAGAGAGAAGAGGTAAGTTAGTTGACACGGTTGTGAACCTTCATCGACTGAGATGATTGGGACATGTGTTACGTGTTCCTAGTCACTGATTGCCTCATCACACAATGTTGGTTGAGGTAGGTCCAGGCTGGAAAAAGGCCGAAGGTGGCCAGACTAAAATATGGCACCAATGTATGAAGTCTTTGACTGTTGGTTTTATCCATGTGGGCGATTCAGACTAGGTGGTTGGAGTCGGCGGGACAAGAGGAACCGGTAGTTGGAGACTCTAGGTGATATATCTGAGAACCGATGTCAGTGGTGCAGATGTACACACACATTATCCTCATCTTAACGACGCTATACCGAATCTCACCATTTTGTCATTCTTCCTTTCTCTCTTTGAGTACTTGATACTTCCTTTGACTGAATTTTCTTTTTTTCATCTTCCACTTCACTGCCCTTCTGCTTGATGTACTGATATGAGGTGTGGCAACTCGGAGGGTTACGCAGTAATGCCTGGTTCTATGCTGATTTAGATGGATGGATGAGTGAATTACAACTGTGTAATAGGCGCTTTCAGTAAAACTTAACGAAGGTGACTGAAATTCAAGGAAGTTAGGAAATACTTTTTTTAGAAGCAAAGGTCGACCCGTTGGAATTACAGATATTGTTCGAATCTATTGGTTCTACTGGTCATCTGCGATTCCTTTGATAAAACTAGCTGCATAACTTTTGTTTTGTGAATCATGTGTATTGGTTTGTAGTATGCAAAATTAAAAGGCAAGATATAGTTTTATGCGTAATTGCTCGTATTTCTTTTTGAGAGTACTAACGATAAGATTTCTTTTACAAAATGTAATGAAATGATTTTCATTTCATTCGTAAAAATTAATCTTTTCTCTTTTGTTTCAAAGATCGCCAGTGGCATGTCTTATTTGGAAGAAATGAATTCTGTTCATCGAGATTTACGTGCGGCTAATATCCTTGTTGACCAAGATTATTCAGTAAAGGTATCAGATTTTGGATTAGCGAAAATTATTAGTGATGATTCTCATGCTGATCCAAGTAAGCGGGAATCGTGTTAAAGTTTTTAATATTTATTTGCAATGAAATAACATACCTCGAAATTCACTCAGCCAGCCACCCTATGCACATCCGTTCATTAGGCAGGCAATGAGCCATACTTATTGTGTGAGCACTAGCGGTCATACTACCTGGCTGTCCAATCCTCGGTGGGTTGAGCAATGTTCGAATCCATGACCCATTGGTTGATAGTCATCTCCATAAACCACTGGGCCACAGCTCCACATACATACAAACAGGTTGTACATACAAGTAGTTCCTTAGTTATTTTTCCCCTGTTTTTCCGTAAAATTATATGTTGAATGATAATTCCAAATGCTAAGTGCGTGAAAGGATCAACTGAGGTAGTGACACTTAGAGATGACAGTGAAGAGAAAACGCCGATGGATTTGGAATGTTATCTTTAGAAACAAATGATGTCAGTTAACCGTTTCTTACGTGGATTAAAATGACTAGTCTTGTGGTCGCTGTTTTCATCGTGTTCATTATTGAGGCTCTTGTCTATCCCTCCGGTATCACAAATAACTTGGACAAGAGATTTTTCATTTAAGTAAACGCCGGTCGCTTTCTGCATTGAATCACAAATTCTTATAACACAATGCCTATCGTAGAGCCAGTGTTTCACGATTCACAGTTCATAAACTAAATGTGACCCAGTTTTATACTTTAATTGGGTGTTTGCAATAAATATGAGCCAAGCGTAACCGACGATGTATGACTGAACTAATCAGTTATCTGATTCGTAATGGAATCCGCAAAAGTAAACTTGCTCTGGTAATGGATTGAACGGAGCTGTAGCTCATTGGCCTAAGCACTCCATTTCCAACCTATGGATCGTGGGTTCGAGTCCCGCTTGATTTACTGAGTTATGAGCGGGCAGGTAGTATTATAAACCACCACACAATACGTGCGGTCCCCGTTGTTTGTTGCACGAACTTGCACGCGGTTGCTGGATCTAATATTCCCTTGACTTCTTAGTATCTCAAGACATTTCTTTGCGTGGAACAATGAATGGTGGTAGATTTATACACGTGTTTATTATACAATACTAGGTAATCAGTTAAGCTCTTCAGACAAACAAAGCCAACTTAGAATCTCAGGCAGAAGTGGATCGGTTCAAGTCACCAAACTTTCCGTCAGCACGAAAACAACTTGATAATAAAACATATCTGTTAAGTGACAAAACACATTCAATTCAGTAACACGGCCAAAGAAGAATAATGAGCAGGTTTTTGTTGTAAGCTACTTAAACTGATAGCCCCTAACTGAGATATTAAATGTTACACTTTGAATCTGTTGCTTACATTTGTTCACAATCACTTTTTCTGTATTGTATTCCGTTTATTTGATGAACAATATGCTCTTCTTCAAACCCTTAAAGATACCAAGTTCCCGATAAAATGGACAGCTCCAGAGGCAGCTCTACAACACATCTTTAGCATTAAATCTGATGTTTGGTCATTCGGCATATTGATGTATGAAATTGTAACTTATGGTGGCACACCATATCCAGGTAAAATGCAGTTATTTGTTGCTTTTTGGTTTGTATCCGAAGGATGATTTATTTTGATTTTAAAGAATTTGGTTTACTTCCAGTGTTGTTTTTATTTCACCAGTAAATTTTGCAAACTGTGGTCATATGTGAAAAATTTTATTTTCTAAGCCGTGAACATTAGTATTCAGCTTAAGAATTGGAACACTTTACCCAGTAATTTTTATTCAAATGCGAGTAACCCTACGGAGTCGACGGTAATTGCAAACGTGACGTCATCGAATATCCTCAACTCGGCGAAGCCAAGTTTCGCAGGCGTAAAACAGAGCTGCTCGCACCGACGCACTGCCTGGAAACCCGACTCATACAGCAAGATTTGCGTCATGATAGCATCATGCGTTGCTCTGGTTTTCAGTATGCGGCTAAAAATTTCACCAGTCACACCTTCCCCAGCGCTCACATGACTACACAGATATGCAAATTTCTCGACGACTTCCGAAGGTTCACCACCAAAAGTCAGTGCAGATGCAGGTTTCTGCTTATGTTGTAAAAGCATTTCTCACTGTCAAATTGCCAGGCACGTACCATGCTTACGGACACTAATCGCTAGCTGTTGAGTACGATTTGAGTTGTCTGTATGTTGTCGTATAGTAAAACGGTATCGTCTGTATTCTCAAGGTCGAAAAGTTTTGCACTTATTAACAAGCCTACACCACCACCTCCTTCAGGGTTCTGTTGGATGTACTATTGATCGTATATGTAAAAAGGTATGGCGAATTCGAGCATCTTTGTCTTAGTTTACTATTAGTTTGCTAAGTTGGTTGCATGAGGTATGAGGTATTCTTTTAAGGTGCCTTCAAGATGTTAACAAAGTTCTCATCATCTCTCTTTCATAGACAATTCCTTATAACAACCCTGCTTAGTCAATCAAAAGCAGTTCCGAGAAGGAGAACACAGAATGGGTTGTCTTAGTTGGTTGTTTCATGACCTTTTAGTAACAGGAGTTCCTTGTGGACATCAACTTTGTTATATTTGTCTAAGTTAACTTGCCACAGAGCAAAAAACTGAATCTGGTGTTGATTGTACATTCGAATAGCTTAATTACTTCTTTAAAAGCTTCTACCAGCTTTCAGTGCGTCTACAAAAATTGTTAATGGAGGTACAATCTACTTCATAAACCGTCTTACTTACGCCAGGCTTCTTTTTTAGTAGTGTCTCGGGTGAATTGGAAGAGCTTTCATCTGCATTCACCACTTGTGTCCCAGTGGTGCGTTCTGACCACCAAGCATGTCTCTTTATAAATGTACTACGTTATCTACTGCCTGCTAGCAAACTGCTACATACATTTGTATTCACTTTCAGCCGGAATGTGTTCAGGAGCGTCTAAAGGTTGCAAGTAGCTCGTAAAGGTACACTGTTTATTGACCCTATATTCTTCGAAATGGCAAGTAGCTTTACTATGCTCATCCGTTTTTTCAGGTTTGACGGGTAGCCTTGAATCTAGATGACCTTGGTATCTCGTTAAAATACTGAGATCAATCGATTTTCTTACGTCGAAGTTTTTAAGACGATAGTTCTGATGGCCACCATGACACAAGATGAACTTAGCACACACTAAAGCGTGATCACAGTCGCACCAGTTTCTCCAGAACAACTTGCAGCCTTGAATATACTCACGCCGTAGGTAGTTGATTGCAATGTGAGCCGCAGGAGGTGTATCTTGTGTCTCAATGGCCTAGTCAATAGCGCTTTGGCGTTTGAAGCCATCAGTACTACTGGCGTTGAGTTCGGTGGGAAAACACCACTCACTGGGGTTCAGGTACATCCGGCCGACGAGTCTTAAATAGGACGAAACGCCCGTCCTGGATTCCACTGGTCAGCTCCAAGCAAACTACGCAGTTAATTTTCTCTATACCAAGTGTTTTAAAGTTTAGGAGAAGATAATAATTCAGAACATAAGGAAAGTTCGGGTAATAGATTCAGTCATTCAAGGTCAAAGATGGGACTAAATGTATGAAATTGTCTTATTACACAGAATTTTATTACTTGTAACGACATTTGGACAGCGAGTTTCGCTCTCCATTTTCAGCTTTATTCTATCGTTTGTATTTGACATATGATACTTCCCGAACGCTCAATTCGAAGTGGGCAGTTGTCTAAAATGATCACTTCCTTGTGCACATGGCAGAAGAATAAAGTCACACTACATTCTAAAGGTTGCGGATGTCCAAAGTAGTGTAGTATGGCGGTCATCCGTTTCGGATCGTTGAGTCTATATGCCCCACTGTTTTGTAATCAGAGTCTTACGACTCCTCGAGGGTGTGAGCCTTTCGTAACCAGCAATCCGCTTATAAGTGGTGAGCGTCGGCTTCTGTCCTCTCAGCTTTATGTAAACACCCTCAGCCACGTGAAGGTAATGAATATAACTTTCTTAGCAGAGGCTACGGACATGTGGCCATGCAAGAGCATTTCTAAAGGATAACCAGACCCTTTCTACCCTCAGCTATATTGTGGCGTTTGGCCGTCGTTTGAAAGCTAGTCCTACTCAATCCTTCAGCGCAGTCAGAAATGCTAGTGTCACGCCGATTGGGTAGTATAAATTTTATGGGTCCTATGTTAATATGCGTGTGAACTAACTCGGGGACCTTATCGCCAGTTATTCAAGGTGAAGGTCTCACAAAACGCTCGTAAAAAGTAGATACCTTAGTAAGATAATAGAAAGCATATCACTTCAAAATTAGGCGAAAATGTGTTCCATCAAGTGCAAATGAAAAGTCACTACACGTGTGGCTGAAAATTATAGTTGATGTACTCAGCGATCTGGTCAAGTGAATCTTCGTAAAAAAGCGTTAAAGTTGAGAAATTACATCTGTCTTTTTGACCCATTCTGCTGATATACACTAAGGCGTAAAGATGAATTATCTAGGGAAGTAAAACTACCTTGCCCTTATTGCTTCACTCATTCCTATGAAGGTGGTTACGTCGACATCCTATATTAAGTGTGACCCTTCACGAAAGTTATATCGAGTCATCATATTTCACAATAGCGTACAACAAGGAAGTAAATGGGGAAGAACGAACATAGTCAACGAAGAGAGTGTGTGGTGAGAACGGATGGATAAATTAGTGTCCAATATTTTTGATGTCAAAGGGCTAAATAATCAAATAGCCAAATATTTATCTCTATCAGTTTCAAAGCTCCAACCCATACAACACACATCCCTATGTCACTCAGACCGCAAGTCATGGACGTATGACACATTTTGATCGATTCACAATTTTTTCACGGAAGTTAAAATTGTGCGTCGATGTAATTGGTGAATAGCTCGATTAGCGCGATACCCATCTCCAAAGCGCCTTAGTCGATGAAGGTTCACCCGCAGGTTACCTTACTTCTACTTGCTAATTTATGCCCAACTTTAGTCTTCCCTACCTCCATCATTGTAGTTATTTTCTGCACAAAGATCTACGGCTCATTTATATACTAGCTAGCAATAGTAGATTAGTTAGACGGAGGATGTGAAAAAATGCTGGTCGAAATGGACTACCGATAATGACACGATAGGATGTGTGGCGTGATGGAGTGATTAGCACTCATTAGAATGAAATAATCGTCTGACTGACTACATTCAGTGTATCACTTTCGCCAAAATTGAGTAATGAACAAAAAACTTATAAATATATCGAAGCTTATCATTTCGTCAAAAAAAACACCTTGTTTTTATTCAGTGAGTGAGTGAAATTCGAAAATAATAGGAATAGAAACTGCGCAACACTGTGACAGTGACCTTAAAAGCCAACCTCATCAACTTCTGAAATAACCAAACAGATATCTGTATTTAGGCTAGAAAGGCAGGTTTTCGTGCAAAATGATGAAATCTGATTGTTTGTTTCACTTGTTGCTAGGGTGACCTTTTGAGTTACTCTGAACGTACAGTCAGTGAAGAGTAAATCATGCATGTAATTCAACCCTCTACATGTCCATGTACTAGACTATGAGCCACGTTTGTTATGTGTGGGTTTATGATACTACTCGGTTGCACATGTTGAAGTAGGTTGAGCAGGCTTTGAAACCCAAGACCCATTTTCTTGTAAGTTGAGTTCCTAAGCCAATTTCATTCGACAACCCTCAACTTCTTTGCAATTTATTTGAAGTCATCTTTCTGTTTCCTGTGCAATAAAATGATCTAAGTAAGGTTACTTGAAGATCATTAATTGATCTACCAAATAAGATTCACTGATACTGACTGTTTCAGAGAGACAGCATACATCCATGGCTAGCGATTTCACAGTTCTAGCGACTGAAGCTTGCTAGCCGATTTGGCATACACTTCGCACGTTGAAAGCTCTTACATGAACTCGATGATCAGGTCATAGGAAACTAGGAATGAGGTTTCAATGGCTATGATGGTTTGCAATTGTCGCCGAATCAGAAGTTGAAGAAGGTGTAAGAGGCTTAATATTAGTGCCAAGAGGTGAAGGTGAGGGTGAAGGAGGAGATAGAGTTGAGGAGGATAGGTTGTATTTGATTGGGTCTTGAATACTACTGGGAGTGTGAGTTCACTTGACACTTGGTGGCTGCCTACACTATGGAAGGCTATTTCTTCTCAAAGTATCTGAAAGAGAAGAAGATTTGTGTGACTGACCAGAGCCCATGAGAGACACGTGCTTAAGATGTGTCACATATGGCCTTTAACGAGTTGTTGATTTGAGGTTTGGTTCTTCTAATGGCCGCTAGAGAGGATTCATAACGCCAGCACCAGAAGACCGTAGGGCAGGGAGGAGTGTGGTATTATTCGGGTGGACGTTTTCCGACCCCTCTCCCCATTATGAAGGCGTCATCAGCGTGGCACTGCAGGTGATCCAAGGGGAACATCTTACTGCTGTCACACCTGATCTTGCTAGTGGTAGTGCGACTTCGGTCTCAGATCTCCATCATAGTTTACCTAATTTACACTACAATGGTAACTGCTTTTCGTCTTACCACTATTCAACAGACCTTTGTCGCATAGTGGGATGTGGAGGGAGTGTTGCATACGCAGCTGGAACGTTTCAAACTATCATTTCTGACCACTGGTTGATTAGCTTTTATCACTTTCTAACATGCGTTTAAAGCACTACACTTTCATGTAGTGCAGATTAGAACTAAATGTATGAAATGTGACAGTTGGTGATGCTTTTTTTCTCGTGATAACCGGATTAAGGACTAGTAGAGCTTCATCTCATCATTGGTGTGTGAATTCTACTTTAACCGTGTTCCTATACTCGACTATCACTCCGTCAATACGAGTAAGACAATTATCGAGGTTTTTGATATGATTGAATTGATGACAATAAATGCGCGAAACGATAATAATGCAGTAAGATACTTGGACTGAATGCGAGTAGCGTGGCTGTACTCCCCCAAACGTGATACTTCCATTGAGTTGCTATAATCAGAAAACAAAGACCGGCCTGTGACTATAAGTAAGACGACTTTATTTGACAGTAAACGCACATTAACATACAGTTTTTCTTCAGAGAATGTAGGCACCAGTTCACAGGTTGGACATTTAGTTTTTATTGGTCCGTTGAAGGACAAGGTTGCAATCCAGAACTTCATCCATATCGGTTGGTAACCTTGAGTGCTAGTTTCGATTTAGACTGATTCTTGTCGGTTTTGTTTTCCCCTGTACATTCATCGAAGACATGTTACATTGTTTTTTTTAGCATGATTTGTGGATAGTTTTACGTTTGCATCTTTTGTTTTGTTGCTGATAGGAATGACTACGCGTCAGACAGTTGCTGAAGTCGAGAAAGGCTATCGTTTACCTTGTCCGCATACTGCTGAACATCCTTGCCCCGATGACTTATATAATCTTATGCGTAAATGCTGGGATGCTAGACAGAGAATCGTCCCACGTTTCGTTCACTCTATGACGTTTTGAAAATTGGTCAACACACACTGAAGCTCAATATCTGGATAACTAGGGGGGAATGAAATGGTTTCTTCTCAGTGAACAATGCTTTCTTGGATAATCATTCCAAATCAGTATTGACATTCAATGATGATTAGCACATTTCCGGTGACGTAATTACTCCTGAGATTTATACTCAGTCATATTCGTTGTGTACATAATTTAACTATGCTTTGTAACTAACTATGCAAGATGTTCTTTTTCAAATGTGTATCTATATATTTTTTAGCTACCTCTTGGTCCTCTTTTCTAGCCACATATTCATTCATTCATTAATTCATCATTTTGAAGATCTCATGAGAAAGGGCTTGTCACCATTAGCGGATTCATTCTGTTGTTATATAATAGTCTTTATTTAAGCAGTTTTTTGCGCCACAATACATTTCTGTCTATGCGATGTCGCTTCATCTTGAATAAGTATTTATAGGCCTATGCTTTGCTGTGTAGACAAAAGTGAACTGTTTCACTCTGTGCTTCCACGTATCAGTGCCAGTGCATTTCTAAATTGTGAAACTGATTCACACTGCTTCACTTAACGCGGTGATCATTTCTGTTTGTATAAATTTCTTATTCTGTATATCATGCCAGTTATGGGCTTCTTAGTTTCTCTCTCTACATTCTGGTTGTGTTGCTTCCGAATGAATGCGACTCACAACTATCGGGAGATCGAATAAAAGAAATCGACTACTTTTTTATGCATCGGTAAATTTCGCTTTTGAGATATGCCCATTGTGGAGATAGTCAGTGAAGGGTCGGTTATTATTACACTGCAACTGTCGTATGCTCCTTTCATCAACAATGATTTGTTTATTATGAGTGGCTGAAATTTCTATGCACTACTACCTTTAGGTAATGCTTTGTTTTATATATATATATATATATATATATATATATATATATATATATATATATATAAAACAAGAGTATTTACATATTGTTTTGTAAAATCCGTTTTCTTACTGTTTTGATCGTATAGTTGACTCCGTCCCGTGTATCCTCTCTTTCCCAGTACTGTTTATCTCATAATTGTAATTTATTCCAATGGAAGTTTACTCTGTACCCTTATTCCTAGTCGTGTGATCTGATTTTTATTTACTAGGCCATCAATTTCTCTAGTAGTCTGATATATACATCTTTTTATCTTCAAAATTCAATCTGGTATGGAGATTGCTTTATAATATATTTCAAGTATGATTTCTTGCTATACTCTGTCTTTAATCATGAATGATTAAAATGACATGCATATCTCTTCTTGGGTATTAACAAGTCTTCAAAGTTTTTCTGCTTGTTTTATTCGATGGTTGTTAGTTGATGCTGGTTGTTTTCTTGCTTGTCTTACATAATTTGTTGTTCTAACTTTATTCTTTCGACTGGTTGAACACTCCCTTTATATTTATTTACATACTGATGGTTTGAATTATCATCATTTGAATATAATGCAATAAAAGACTATACTCATTTTGCTCAGTGCCGTAATTCAGTATCATTACCGTATTGTGTGTATGAATCGATGTTCCATTTCACCTTCTTAGTCTGATCCGACCGATAGCTGATACTTTGACGCGGTGGTCGAACTTGCATATCACGATGACCCAGCGATCTACGCTTACTGGAACGCTTGTTTCCTCCAGGTCCTACCATGCTGGAAAAAGTCTGTTAGACAGTAGCAAGATGAAAAGCAATTACCCATGTAGTGTCAATTACTACACTATGATAAGGGTCTGAGAATGAAGTCGTACTGTTGAGTGAATGGGTTGTGACACCAGTAGTGTTTCCCTTGAATGTCCAGAAGTACCGTGCTAATTCTGTCTTCCTTATGGGAAGTGGAGAAGTCATAACAGAACAGTTTTGCAATAGCTCACCTCACCCTAACTAGCAATCTCCCGGTGCCGGCAGCATAGCTTTCTTGCCTGACAGCTCAGTGAAATCTCAACTCAAGATGATGTCCCATGGACTCCACAGTTAGACAGAAGCTAGTCCTTTTCTTCGTCAAGCACGTATTCAGATAGGAGATAGTTGGGTATTTATCTAAATGTGACAGGAGTTCTCATGCTGAGGAAACCTGGAGTGATATCATATCTGCTGTAGGAGTAACGATAAAGACGGTTGGTTAGCTAGACCAAAAGGTTAGCCAGCCTCAGCTATTTTTATCCAAGGTTATATGGTCTACATCTCTTGTGTTTAGCAACGTCCCTCCTCTATGTGCGTTAGATAGTGTTAATATTTTAGTTATCAACACCTTTGTTCCTAGTGTGAGTGACTGATTTCCTATTGCCTACTGTAAAGCTTTCAAAGGAGCAGATGACTGTCTAAAAAATTAATCGCTTTTCCGACTACTGTAATTAACTAGCATCAGGCAGTTGCGTCATCACTTCATATATCTTGCGGAAAAAGCATACCCTGCATATAAAAGCTATTCAAACCTCTTGCATTAATGTGTTATCATAACTGCGGATCGATGTCTATACATAGACGCCGATTAACACTCAAACTCATAAGCAGTCTGCGATGTAATGTGGGTAAGTTTCCGAACAATGCATGAATTGTAAAGTCCGAAAGTCATTCAGATTACATGTAGTTCATTTCTCAAAATCCACTCCCTGACTACAGCAGAGAGGAAAATCGACTGCACTTCTCCAAAATACGCCACACTTCACAGCAACAGCATGCAGAAACCAATTAAATCCATAACGAGTAATATTCCACTACAAACAAGTTTATGCCATATGTTACAATCAAATGGAGGAGGTCAGTGAAATCAACAGTATATTCATCTGCACCATTGTCACCAATTTAGACTCACACCACTAGAGGTCAACAAACATTCTCGTCACCTTGAAAACGGTAAACACACCATCTTCATGATGGAGACCAACAGTCGGAGACATTGAGGATTCGTGCCACGTGATGGGCTGGCTACAACTAGCCTCCTTCTTTCAGTACAATTCTGTTTCGACTAATTTTGCATGTCGAGGAAGGCGATGACTCAGCATGTACACCACATGAATGTGATAGATCAGTCGTCGGAGATCTACATCCTCATCAACTGATCAGATCGGTGCACTTACTCGTTCCGAGGTTGAAACCTGTCTGCTTCTCTGAGTTTGTCATTCTCAGGGTCGCGTCAGGCGTGCAGTGACAATGGACGTTGGGACATATTTGACAGCCTGTCAATCTCATTTCCCCTTTGCTTGTCACACGGCAATTCCACTCATATTTTGCCAATTGAACTGATCATCGAACTATCACAGTCTCACTGGACTCTCTCTGATTTAGATACACTAGCTAATAAGAATGTCAGTTCTTCTGGTCATTCGATTTCGACCCGCAACCTCAAAAGCTGTTGGAGCTTTACATAAGCTAATGCAGATTTGCACCAATTCACATGCGATACAACTTGAACGAGAGCTGGTCAACGGACACATGGAGGATGGGGCTGATTGTTTGGCAACTGATGTGTGTCTGTTGTCCAGCTGGAATGTTTTTCAAATTGTTCTTCTCAATGTCACCTTCAAGTGGCTTGACAGGTTGACAAAGACCTATCCTTCTCGCAGATACTTTCAATGGATCTCATCTTGTTCTTGTCAGTCACCTTGTCTGACTGAAATAATTGCTGATTGTTAGGTAGTGTTAATACCTTATCTATCTCTTTCGCCATACACCACTACCCAGAATTCCTTATCAGTGCTGCGAACCAGATCACATTTAGACTGTTCTCACTACTCATTGGGGTCAGAGACAACCGACACGAGTCTTCTTGTGCCAATCATTTCGAATGGTGCTGCAGGGATCCACTGGCCTCATCTAATCTTCGGGTGTGAACTAGGTATAGTCTCCTTGTCTGTTTCTGCAGCACACTGCATACTACCACATAATCACATGAATAATTAGTCTGACAGATGATCGATCAACCAATCAATATTATTATTTTGAATACTGAACAATGTAGGTAGGCTACTACCATATTCATATGAATAATGTCCAGCATATTTACGCTAAATACACACTTGATGTTCCCGTCTTGTATCCATCTGAGCATTAGAGGAGGCTTGAATTCTGTTTACTTCCGTGTCCCATGAAGGTGCATGTGTATAGGTGCTCAGACTGTCGTATATTTTGAGTGTAGACTGAATGGTATTCTGGAATGGAGGTATTTGTGCTTCTCACTGGCTACGTACAACAGTGTGGGCTAGATGTGTCCATCGTTGGCGTGCTGCTAGCGATCAGGATTGAGACATTGTTTGATAGTAGTTTTGAAGTTGTTGCTGTTTGAGAGCAAGTGTTTTTCAAACTTGAATTGTGAGTGGAGAACACCGTTTTCATTTTATCGTTGTGGTATTCCATATATGCTTTAAATATAGCTTATTTCCCTAAACTGTGTGTGTGGTATGACTATGTTTGAATGATGCTATTGGCAGCAGAAGTTGGTAGGCAGGGGCACTATTTCAGTTTTTAAGATAGGCAGTTTCCTAGTGATTTGCATGAATGGTAGGTATTATTGGTTGAACTGCTGTTTATCTTCTGGATGGGCTCTAATGCACCCACGCCTCTAACAAGCAGCCGTTGGACTTTGCTGTGAAATTCGTATATTATTTGTACTTCCATAGTAGCTACTCTTCCTATTTTCACTATTTTCCAGGTGTTCTTGGCACATTGGAGCCTCAGCAAATTTGATAGACAGCATAGCTGGTTTTGTCACGACAACTAAGTTAAAGTAAAATCTGATTGTCAGGATTTTGGATTCTGTGGTGCATTTAGTTTACCCACCTTTTGCTTCACATACATAATATATTGTAATTGCACCTCAGGCACCATATATTATGTTGTATTGATCTATGAATGATAGAAACATTCATAATTGGCACACTTCATCCACTTGCAGATGGAGGTTCATTCTGCTAACAATATAGAAACTTAGAAACATACATGTCTGGTATAATTCAGTTTCGAGGTTTATGGGGGTTTGTTGA